AACTGCCCGGTAAACCGTAGGCAGAGAGGGAGAATATATATATCGTCACAAACAGAACTGCCCGGTAAACCGTTGGCAGAGAGAGAGAAGAGGACAACAAACGAGGGGCTGTGACAAACTGTTTCGTCGGAGTTTCACCGACTCATCAGGAGGCTGAACCCTCAACAGTCTGCAGAATACCCTCACTGATTATATATATGGGTTCAGCCTCCTGATGAGTCGGTGAAACTCTGACGAAACAGTTTGTTACAGCCCCTCGTTTGTTGTCCTCTTCTCCCTCTCTGCCTATGGTTTACTGGGAAAGGGCCCAGCGTGACGCTTCCCGCTGGGCCCAGCGAAATTCGGTGTGGAGGCGGGCGGGACTGCGGCAAGGTAAATCGGCCGCGGCGTTTCGTGGCGGGACTGTGGGCGGGAGTGAGGGAAATTCGGTGTGGCGGTTCCACGCGACACACCCCGCTCTGCAGTGTCAGGAGGACACAAAGTCCCGTTCCCCGCTGCCACGTTTTTTCTTTCAACCCCCCCATTCAGTTCTGTTTCCTGCCAGCACGTGGTGCCGGGCGGGGGCCTCGTCGATATGGAAAAGGGCGGCGATGGAACGATGTGATGGAGGGGGGAGGATCAATGCAGGAGGAGGGAGGAGGAAGAGGGAGAAAGACATTTGGGGCATGTGGCACGTGTGTGCTCAGAGCAGGAAGGGTGGGAGAAAGAGGGAGGATGAAGAAGGAGAAGCATGTTTGGGCCGATCGAAACAAAGGAGGCAGCATGAGGAGCAGCGAGGACGAGGAGGAACAACGAAAAAGAGGAGCAGCGAGGGGACGATGAGAATGGAGGAAAGAGGAATATGGAACAAAAGGAGAAAGAGGGATGAAAGGGAGGAGGACAATAATCATGGCAGACGGCGAGAATTCATGGAGGGGGGGAGAGGATGTAGGGAGGAGGTTTCCAAGGGGAGGAGGACATCGCACAAGGGGGAGGAGGAGGTTGGGACGAGGGGGATGAGGAGGTCGCACAAGGAGGAGGACGTTGTGCGAGGGGGAAGCGGACGTCTTGACAAGGAGGAGGAGGTTGGAGGAGAGGTGGGAGGAGGTCATGCAAGGGGGAAGCAGACATCCCGACGAGGAGGAGGAGGAGGAGGTGCGAGGGGGATGAGGAGGTGGGTGGAGGACGCGTGAGGGGGAGGAGGTTGCACAAGGATTAGGAGGACGTTGTGTGAGGGGGGGAAAGATCGAGCAAGGGAGAGGTCAGAAGAGGGGGAGGAAGTCACACGAGGGGGAGAAGGGGGGCGCGAGAGGGGTAGGAGGAGGTCCCGCGAGGGGTAGGAGGAGGTCGCACGAGGGGGAGGAGGAGGAGGAGGAGGGTGTGCGAGGGGGATGAGGAGGTGGGTGGAGGACGCGTGAGGGGGAGGATGTCGCACAAGGATTAGGAGGACGTTGTGTGAGGGGGAGGAAGAGGTCGAGCAAGGGAGAGGTCAGAAGAGGGGGAGGAAGTCGCGCGAGGGGGAGAAGGGGGGCACACGAGGGGTAGGAGGAGGTCGCGCAAGGGGGAGGAGGAGGTTGGAAGACGATGTGTGAGGGGGAGGAGTGGGTCGCGCAAGGACGAGCAGGAGGTCGCAAGAGGGGGAGGAGCCTAGGAGGAGGTCGCACCAGGGAGAGGAGGAGGTTGAAAGAGGGGAAGGAGTGGGCCGTGCAAGGGGGAGGAGGAGGTAGTGTGAGGGAGACGAGCAGGTCGCACGAGGACTCGAGGAGGACGAGACGTTGCAGGAGGTCGTGCGGAGCTCGGAAGGGAGGTGGAAGGAGGTCGCGCGAGTGGGATGAGGAGGTCGGAAGAGGACACGTGAGAGGTGAGGAGGAGGTCGCGCAAGGAGGAGCTGGAGGAGGTCAAAAGAGGTGGGAAAACGTCGCGTGACGGGGAGGAGGAGGTCGGAAGACGATGTGCAAGGGGGAAAAGCAGGTTGCGCAAGGACGGGGAGGAGGTCCCGTGAAGGGGAGGAGTAAGTCGCGCGAGGGGGAGGAGGAGGTCCGAAGCGGGGCCGGAGTGGGTTGTGCACGGGGGAGGAGGAGGTCATGGGAGGGGTAGGAGCAGGTTCCATGCTGGGATGAAAGGTTGCAGGAGGTCGTGCGGGAGGGGGAGGAGGAGGTTGCACCAGTAGGAGGGGGAGGTCACGCTAGGGGGAGGAGTTTGTGCGAGCGGGAGGAGGCGGCCATGAGGGAGGACGAGGAGTTCGCGCTAGGAAGAGGAAGTATTTGTGTGCGCGTGCACACGAGAGAGAGAGAGAGAGAGAGAGAGAGAGAGAGAGAAGACTGGCATATCTTCCTCCAAATGTTGAAAAGATGCCATTGGCCTTTTTTGGGGTGGTGGTAATTTGCCAAATACCCCCATAAGTTGAGACGTATTTCAAAATGTCCCTGAAAGATCTCGGTATGGTGGAACGACCTTTTGGGCTGACATCTTTGTGTTATGCCCCTGGTACATTGCAAAGATGGGGTCCAACCGATGTCCGAGGTGTTTCGCAAAATGTTTTTGTCATCGTTCTTCGCCACAGCGTGGCTGCGGCAGGTCCACTTATATATATATACAGCCCCTCGTGTGTTGTCCTCTTCTCTCTCTCTGCCTACGGTTTTACCGGGCAGTTCTGTTTGTCACGATATATATATATCCTGATGAGTCGGTGAAACTCCGACGAAACAGTTTGTCACAGCCCCTCGTTTGTTGTCCTCTTCTCTCTCTCTGCCTACGGTTTACCGGGCAGTTCTGTTTGTGACGATATATATATATCAGGTCCACTTATATGAGTCGGTGAAACTCCGACGAAACAGTTTGTCACAGCCCCTCG